CTGAAACATAAAAAGAAATGACTTGTGAGAAACATTCTTAGTTTATGAAAGTTGAATCACTTGTAACTCTGATAAGTGCACTTTGGTGGTATTTTGTTGTTAGCATTTCTTTCACCTTAGAAATACCTTAGTATTGCAGACCATTGTTCTGTCTCTATTCCAAGCTCACTATTATGATCAATAGATGTTTGGAGGAAGAAGCTCAATAGTTGACTGAATTACGTAGCTACTCATCTAAGGAGAACATGAAAACAGAAATAGTTGAAATTAGTTAGAAACAATGCTTAGTATTTTTTGAATTAGTATTTATAAATCAATATTGATACCTGAAAGTATATACCATTGAAATCTGATATTTTTGATACTTATTTCAATGATAAGCTCCACAGAAAAATAGAAACTCTGGTACTACCATCATAAATAGTTTACCTCTTACATGCTTAATGTTTTTCCTTTTCTTCTTGCCTCATGTTTATCCACAACCAATATTCAGGAACTTTGATGCTCTGATGCCCTTTGATGTTTGGAGACTATATCTAAACATGGGGAAAACATTTTGATCATTTCAGTAGATTATGAAATACTAATTTTCAGATTGCATGCTTGCCCACTAGGAAAGCAGAATCAAAGTGTTGAAATGGTAAAAAAAAAATAAAAACCTGAATATGAAGTAGATTATGTGGACAATTTGATTATGGCAATAACTTACATTACTTATGAATGTTAAATATCTATTTTTCAGGCAATTCAAAGTTTTAAAAGATTAGTAAATCTCTCTTTAAAAAATGAAGTATTGATTATGCATTTATCCAGTTTTATTGAGAAATAATTGACATATGTCACCATATATATTTAAGGCACACATAATGGTTTGGTGGTTTGATTTACATATATTGTGAAATAATCACCACAATAGATTCAGCTAACATCCATCTTCTCTTATAGAAACAATAAAAAGAAATGAAAGAGGAAAAGTAAACAGAAAAGAAAATTCTCTTTGTGATGAGAACTCCAGTATTTACTCTTTTAACAACTTTCCTGTGTGAGCTATAGTTATCAAGTTGTATTTTATTTATCTGATAACTGGAAGTTTGTACCTTTTGACAACCTTTCTCTAATTCCTTCTCCTTCATACCCCTCTGCCTCTGGTAATCACAGCGTGGTCTCTTTTTTTATGAGGTTTTTTTGTTTGTTGTTGTTTTTTTTTTTTTAATGGATTTCACATGTTAGATGACATTTATTTCTCTACCTCTGTCTGACTTATTTCACTTTGCATAATGTTTTCAGAGTCCATTTATGTTATTCCAAGTGGTAACATTTGCTCATTTTTTTATGGTTTGATAATATTTCATTGTATGTATACACCACAAGTTTTTTATCCATTCATCCATTGTTGGACACTTAGGTTGTTTTGTGGGTCTTGGCTAGTGTAAATAATGCTGCTATGAACTTGGTGGTGCAGTTATCTTTTCAAGTGAGTGTTTTTATTTCCTTGGGATATATTCTCAGCAGTGAAGTTGCTAGATCATATGGTAATTCTATTTTTAATTTTTTGAGGATCCTCCATATTGTTTCCATAGTTGTTATACCAATTTATATTCTTACCAACATGCACGAGGGTTCCCTTATCTCCACATCCATGCCAGCATTTGTTATTGCTTGTCTTTTTGATAATAGCCATTGTTACAAGCACAAGGTGATATTGGGTATTTTTTGTTTCTTTGTTTATGCTATTGAGTTGTATGAGTTCTTTATATATTTTGGATATTAAGTCCTTATCAGACATGGTTTGCAAACATTTTCTCCTATTCCTTAAGGAGTCTTTCACTTCGTTGATCGTTTCTTATGCAGTACAAAAAGCTGTTTAGTTTGATGTCATGCCACTTATTTATTTTTAATTTTGTTGCTTGTGCTTTAGGTGTAATATACAAAAAAAAAATATTAAGGCCCATGTCAGGGGCTTTATTGCTATGTTTTCTCCTAAGAATTTCATGGATTCATGTTTTGTATTTAAGACTTTAATCCATTTTGAGTTAGTTTTTGTGAATAGTATAAGAAATAGTTCCAGTTTCATTCCTTTAGATGTGAATGTCCAATTATCCCAGCACCATTTATTAAAGAAACTGTCTTTTTTTCCATCGAGTGTTCTTAACTCCCTTGTCAAATATAATTGAGCATATATTTCTAGGCTCTCAATTCTGTTCCATTGGTATATTTGTCTGTTTTGATGCTAGTACCTTCTTTACCTAGGCCATGTAACTGACCTTCCACTTTTGTCGCCACTGATGGTGACTCTGGAATCTTTTTACAGAGATGATGAATTTAAAGGAGAACCTACTCTATAGACACATTAGATATTCCTCCTTCATACAACACATTGATGTCTAATTTCCTTCAACTGAAGAGGCAAGTCTACTTAATTTCCTGGAATTGTTTTATGCCTTAGCCTCACTCCATGAAATCATTTTATTCTCTGATTCATACCTACTCTTTCTAGAGTCCCTAGATCTTGCTTTCGAGTTCCAGTTTGAGCATATTCTTATTTCTTGTTTAAGCTGAGATGCTTTCATTTACTACAAACACTGATATATTTTTCAGTTGATGGTGATTCTACTCTATATACATTTTAAATCCATTGTCATTATCTGCCTACTCTAGAAATTGACTGTACCTGAAATAATTGATCTCTAGTTCAGTAGAGATTACTAGTCTCGGTTTCCCCTATCCTGCCCTATTCTTTCCCAGGAGCTTTAGTTAGTATCCTAAACTGATGCGAGATCACCCCAAAACTAAACTCCTTACGCTGGTTTACAAAGCTCGAGATCTGCCTGTTGCTTAACGTTCTGATCTTATTCCAGCCAGGCCATCCTTCCTCCATCCCGCTACACCCAGCTTCATTAACCAACATGTCACTTCTAGAACAGACCACGATGGTTCTAGCCTGAGGCCTTTGCAGCAGCCTGGAGTGCTCTTTACTCCTGATTTTTATATGACTAGCAACTTGATACCTCAGTTTAAATTTTACTCCCGTAGGTAAGTCTTCTATAAACACCTAAACTGAGTAGCTTTTAAATATTACCATATTTAAACTTTCCATAGATTAGTCATCTCTATCTAGTATTAAAATATTTATCTATTTGTATAATCTCTGTCTCACACACTAGAATGGATGATTTATTAAAGTAGGTACATGGTTTGTTTTGTTCGCCCACATCTCCTAATAAAGGACCTGGCATAAAACAGAACTCAATAAGTGTTTGTTTAATGAATGAACAAATAATCACATGCCCCGTTATTTCAAATGTCCATATATATTAACTTGGCTGAGGGTGAAATCTTTCAACTTTATTATAACTGAAGCTTGTAGGATACTACAGCTTTATATTATTTTGCTAATTTCCTTTCATAGAGTATTTATGAAGATCTTAGGGAAAACATGGCTGTATGTATTCATGTAAAAAATAATTTAAAAATTGTCACATTGTCATTTTGAGCAATGAAGAGAGGGATATTTTAAAAATCAAAAAGACCAGAAAGGATGTCACTGGATTTAAACGGTAAAGGAAACAATTAGTTAGAGATTTTGATTTGCATAACTCTTTTGATCTTAAAACTTGTTTTCTTCTTTGATACCTTTCTCATTCATACAAACTATCAAAATAACATTTAGATTACCTTTTTCCTAGATGTTTTAATATTCATACATTATAATGAGTATAAATAAACATGTTTCAGGGTGACACCTTAGAGTTATAATATAATTTTTTTCATTGTAGATGGATTGTTTGACAGATTTCTTAATACTATTTTTGTTTTGTTTTCTATAAGGGCTGCATTATTTCTTGTGATTTGGAAGAAAACATGTTTTCATTATTAATTTGCAAACATTTCATATATCAAGAAAATGTAGTGCTACTTTATAAACTTCCAGTATTAGAAAGATGATTATAAAATCTTCTTGCATTATTGAATTTCTTAGTTTTTCTCCTAAATATTGGATGGTAGCGATATACCATTAATATGTTTTTAAATATGCATGTTATAGTATGTTAAAAATAATTGTGTAAAGCAAAATCTTTTTTTTGTAAAGTCTTTTCCTTTCTTTAGCAAGAACATTTTCGTTATCATTCCTATTTATTACACTAGTTGTAATTAGTGTAGAGAAATGTGTACTCATGTACCAATTCACCAGAAAAAAACCTGTACTTAAACAGCTGTTTCTCATAGCATATAATGTATGACTGTTTTGTAAATTATTAAAAATAAATTCATGTGTGCAATTTTATTTTTCATTATTGTCTTGGTCTTTCATATTTATTCATTTATGTAATATGTACCATTTGTCATTAAAATCGCTGTGTATATAAATGGCAAAAATGTATGTATATCCTTTTCATCTTAATGTCCATCACAGATCTTAATACAGTATCTTTCAAAAAATGTTAAATGACCTGAAACATATAAATAAATATAAAATAATCCATGTCAGTGTAACAATATATAACTAAACAAAACTAATAAAAATAACACCTCTGTGAAACTTTCTTCACTCATTACCTTATCAAGATTTTGTGTGTAAATATTTAGCTTAGTAACCAATATATATTTACACTTACAAATATTACTGTCCATCGTTTACATAAAAATGCTGTAAATCTATAAAAATATAGATATTTATATTTTTCAGGTAGCTCTCTCTGCTTTAGTTATGTCTAGTTTTCTAATCGTTGTTAGGGATTAGGGTGAGGTTTTCTGCTTATTTAAGATAGTGTTTAACTAAGATAGTGTTTAAGGTAGTGCTTAATTACAGAGCCCTAATGCTAGGACCAGGAGATATGATCTCCTCAGCTCCAGGGTTGTATGAGTGGGGCCTGGGGTGGCTGGAGTCAGGGCCTATGGCCTGCAGCAGAGAGCAGCTTTGGGAATAGCCTCTCGCAGGGCAACTCTGAGGCCAGCCTGAGCTGAGTGGAGTCTGATGGTGCGCCCTGCGGTCCCCGCAGGTGGCAAGCACAATGAACGGCATCCAGCCCTCCCTGCTCCACTGCGACACGCTGAGCGCAACCCCGGAGGCGCTCTACCACCCAGACATCTCCTTCAGCAGCCAGCTGCAGAGCGCGCCACTGCTCATCGCAGACAAGGGCCCCGTGGAGCTACCAGAGGAGTTCGTGGTCCAGGTGTCCAAGGAGCCCAGATCACAGCCCAAGGTGCGGACAGCGGTAGGGAAAGAGGGCTGGGGGTGGCTGGGCAGGGGCTCCTGGGAGGCTCCGTCCCAACTGTGTCTTTTCATCTAGTTCTATATTCTCTGCATCCATTTACTGTGGCTGATATTTGCACTTAGCTGTATCCTAGCCAGTTATTTAACAATGCATGCTTGTTCTACATGAGCCTCGTTATTTTACAATGTTTCACTTTAAATTTCGGAATGCGTTTGAAATGTCTTTGCATTATGACAGGAAATTTAAAATTACTTTTAGTGACAATTCAACTCTTGTAAAATTTGAATGGTTGGAAAATACAAGTTTTAACATTTCTCACCACCTACTTGTTTGAAAGAAAAAATCTTATCAATGGCAACTACCAAAATTTGAGGAGATTATAATGAAAACATCTTGGTTAGGAGTTGTGTATAGTCATTTAAAGCATAAAATCTGATAGAAAAGTGATGTCTACAGAAACAACCTAATTTTCTTACAGAAATGTTGGAAAGTACTTTATTTATAATATTGTCTCTGCAGCTGTCAACTACAGTGAGTGACATCCAGCCCATGAAGCTCCAGTGAGGAATATTATATAATATTTGCACAAAATTCAATACTATTATTTTCTCCAGTACTTTATATTTTATAGTATCTTTACATAATTTTTAGGCAATGTAACTTTCTTTTTTCTTATTAAATTCCATACAGGCACACTTACTTTTCTTTCCTTCAGAGAACATAATATACTATAATATATAATTATATATATATGTATATGTAATATATATCACATAATATATTATACTTATAATTTTCTTTGTGTGTCACACATGAAAAAAAGCTAGGAAGCATTTGGCTAGTTGAAACATAAATATCAAGTATTGTCTCAAAACAGAGTCATTTTCTTACCCTATAATTTCTTTAAGGGGGTGTACATACAAAAAACACTGGCAAAGGAACATGAAATGTCACTATACTAGTTGAGCTTATCTTCCAAATCCCACTGCAGAATTCTTTGATAAAATAAGTTGGGCTACTTTGTTTCAGTTCAGGGACTAAGTGAGATGCATCAAAAATCCACTTGAGATTCCAGTGACTTGTGAGAGTTAAACTTAGCTCTTCAATTACTGCAACCAATAGAAAGATTACGTTGTGTGTAACTTGACACTCACAGTGACACTGTCCACTTAGTCTACATCGTTCATTCAGTGACCTGGAATCTTTCCACTAAGTTCAGCATTTCTTCCACGTTGGTGATGATTAGGGTGGTGGGGTCAGTGAGTGAGTATATATACTTTCATAGAAGCATGTAGAATTGACTGCAATGTGTTCTGAAAATTCAAGGAAAATGTATAGTAAGCATTTCTTAAGAACTTTAATTTTTACTTTTCTGCTTTCTGTTTTTCATTACCATTTCAAACCTGAAATTATCTAAATTGGGTGCAGTTATATTTTCCCCAGAATCTGCTTCAACTGTAACAAAGTTTTCATCATGATGTTGGCTTTTGTGTTAAAAAATAATATGAAATTAATTAATTTACTTCACTGTGTATACATTCATCACAGTTTCTAGTATAATGTAGTAGAAATCCAGAAATGAAGTTTAATTTTTGAGTAAATGTTATAAATATTTAAATAAGTAACTAACACACACACACACACACACACACACACACACACACACCACTACCTGTTTTCAATTCTGTTTTGTGACAAACATTATGAGGAATCTGGAATTTTTCTGAAGACAACAAGGGAACAACTAAGTTAATTTTAGAGGATTAAACAAGAGAGACCTGCTGACTATACTTGAAGAATAAACTAGAGGCTTTAAGACTGGAGATGGGGAGGTTTTTCTATTGATTCAGATAAGAAATGATGGCGGCCCTAACTTAAGGAGTGAGTGACATTAGAGATAATGAGGACAAATGGACAGGAGTTAGAGATTCATTGGCTATGTGAGTAAGACGGAGGGAAAAACCCAAAGAGGACAACCGAGTTTCTGGCTTAAGAAGATTGCATGATGAATGACAGTGTCACTTATCGAGATAAGAAAGACAAGAAGAGACAGAGAAAATTGATAAGGAATGATGGCATTGTTTTTCAAACATTTACATATGACTTCTTCAAAATATTACTTTGAATAGTAACCCAACTTTCTGACCTCAAATGTTAGAACCGATAACTTTTATATACAATGTACAAATCTGAAAAAAAAATTGAAAAATGATGTTTGTTGGGCATAATTTATTTTCATCAAAAAGAAAAAGTTATTACATTCATTGTTAGTCATTCTATTTTGGCTTTGATGTGATAAGACATTCTGTGACAGAAGAGTGCTAGATTTTGCATTCAGTCCTTCCTTCTACTTCTCAATAATACCTCGCAGGACTACAGTGGAGCCAAGATTAGATCTAATTTTGAGCTCTCCTGTGTTCCCCTGAAACAGCTGAAATGATTCTTACTACATGTGTACTTGCAATATGTACTTTTACTTCTGTCACAAAGAGACAAACTGAACCAAGTTAGGACAGTTGATATGCTGGCCTAGACGTATTTGGCATTCTTTCAGTTCTTAATAGAATGTTCCATGTCAGAATTTGGAAAGAATCAGGAGACTAACCTCATACTTGTGCTCAGTAACAATGTAACATAGCACACCTTTTCATAAAATAATAACAAAACAATCTTCATGTGTCTTTTGAGAGTGCCTCAAAAAACGAATCTTGACTTATTCTTTTGCCTTATTAAAACTGATGATTAAAATAGCAATATTGCCTGATGCTATTGGAAAGCAATGCTTTATCTTAAGGATGGTTAATGTTCGCGTAGGCTAAGAATCTAGAAATTGAAAGCTACAATCATAAAATAAACGCTTTTACAGCTGTAGATCCGAGGTCACAGTTGCAGAGCCTACCTAATTGTACATATAATGGTGTTACAGTGAACTAATAATGGCAGGGAAAGGGTGGCAAAAGCTCATTTGTTGGGTTGTTTGTAACACAATGATACGGGAATAGAGCCAATTCTTTTGCATACCATGAACTCACAAATATGATTGGACAAGTGGTGAACACTGGAATAAATGAAGAACAGTCAAAGGTAAATGTGTGATGCTTTAAAACCTGAGCCAGAACACATACATACAGTAAATAAGATTAATAGGCAGCATATTTTCTATTACTGCAAACCACATCCCCACATGTCTTATCCTTCAACCCCAAGGAAGTTCTATCAATTTATTAGACAAAACATGACCCATTCCTTCCTTTTATATGTTCGGCAAGTAATATTAACTTTTCTGGTTGGAATGGCCTATACCACCTGAGTCCTCTTCGGCTTAGCTAAAAGTTCAATATAGGTTGAATTGGATTGATTTTTCTCCACTTTCACCCATCCCTAGCCCTATTCTTGACAGAACAATTCCTTGCCTCCCTCTGACTCTGAATTAGAGTGGCCTGAAAGTTGTGTGTGTGTATGAGGTAAACAATATATCTTTATTTCCTTCTAGCTTTTATATTTTCATTTGTTATAACTGATGATCATTGGAAAATTCGAGGCTGTTACTCATATTAATATGTTTATACTAGTGTTATTTATATTGACTTTGATGAGTTAAACTTCTGGCATGTTCTCATGTTCTTTCTCCCCTTACTCCCAAATTTTTGTAAAAGCTGGTTCTAATTTTGTTATTACATTACAGTCTGAAGTGTGTAGGTGAAGTGTAGGAATTCACCGGGAGGTAAGGAGATGAAAGAACTTATAACAGAAGAGCAGAGATTAATGTTTTCACAGCAATGAAAAACCTCTGTTTTACAAGCTCAGCTTATTGGCTATAACTGTTACGGCAAGAGAATAATATACTGTGGCCTTCAAACTGCTCGTTAGCTTCTTGGTTTATGTGACAGTATAATATTATTTCAGATAAAAGCCTCTGTTCACATTTATTTGTGTCTTTCAGTAAGGTTTGCCAGCTCAGAAAAAACGTCAGGACTAATTGATATGCAAAAATACATTCTGTGCATATCACTCTTTAAAATTCTTAAGTACATTTAGGGTCATATTTTCATGTGAGAAGAAAGATAATCGGCATCTAGGGAAGTAGGTAAAGTATTGAGGTTAAAAATTAATAATAAATTCTGTGGCTCTAAATATGATTTTAAATCATTTCTTTAGAATGTTGTTTTTTTCCCAAATGCTATAAATACCAGAATGATGTATGCAATTGAAAATAAATGTTAGTGAGTTTGTCTTTCAAGTGTTTGCAGGAAAATATGATAAACTCTTCTGTTCCTATCGGCATAAATTACAAATTGTTTTCCTTTTGCATCTGAGAATTATGTCAGTAGCTTTTCAAAATGCTTATGGAAATATTTTTCATCCTTACATTTTTCTTTTTACACAGGATAGGAATAATGGAAAACAAATGCTAAACTTTGATATTCAAGCCAAAAAAATGTTTTATTTCTTTGATTTAATTAGGGGTGAATTGCAGATTGTTGCATTAATTTATTAATTGAGTATCTGCCACATGCTCGTAACTGCTCATAACTGCATATATGTTCCAAAGGAGCAAATTTTACACTGCTAGTGACAGATACTTTTCAGAATAAGTTAGTTAATTGCTGGGAATTCTCTTCTTTTTTTTTTTTTTTCCTGTTTCCACTCAACTCAAACAATGTGTGGTAGTAAAAGGGGTCTGAAATATATCCCAGCTACAGAGAGGAAACTTCCATTATATTTATAGAAGCCTTAGCCCCAAATTAAAATGCAAGGGAAGGGTAGGGCAGGTATTGTTGTGCATAGAACAATATATTTTCATGGATTGGCTTATATCTGTGTTTTTCGACTCTGCATTATTCATCTAGGTCTATAGTACAGAAATACAAAAATTTGGCCAACCACTATAATTTTTTATTTTGTATAGCCCAGGGGTCGGCAACCTGCGGCTTGCGAGCCACCTTTGGCCCTTTGGGTACGTACATGTGGCTCTGAAGTAAAATTGA